GCCTGTGAGTTAATCAAATGCCGAATTAAATGCCAAGTTCAAGGCCAGCTCATCGATACATTTCGAAACGAATAATAGGCAATAAACTTATTTATTTCATCTCGCTACGACTGTCTGACCATGTGCAAAACGTATGAAACTCTCCCCAATCACACTGACCCCGTCAGTTCAATCAACTGTTTTCAGTTTAGAAGCATATTTGGTTACACTGTAAGAGCCCGCATCGGAAATGTACACTGCGCGGGGCAAGCAATTTTAACAAAAATCTATTAAAATTGCATTTTAAGTTACAATCGATCTTCGTGATGTAATGTAAAGAAAAACCCTGCTGTTGGGGCCGATCTATAGAAAATTCTGCTGTGATGGCTACTCTGATGAAAAATTATGCAGTGATGGCTATTCTAACGAATAAATTCTGCTGTGATGGCTATTCTGACGAAAAATTCTGCTGTTGGGACCAATCTATAGAAAATTTTGCTGTGATGGCTATTCTGACGACAAATTCTGCAGTGATTATTGTGACGAAAAATTCTGGCTATTCTAACGAATAATTCTGCTGTGATGGCTATTCTGACGAAAAGTTCTGCTGTTAGGACCTATGTATAGAAAATTTTGCTGTAATGGTTATTCTGACGAAAAAATCTGCACTGATGACTATTAATTGTGACGGCTATATACTTTGATGAACAATTCTGCTGTGATGACTATTCTGACGAAAACTTCTGCTGTGATGGCTATTCTGACAAAAGTATTGTATTATGATAGATAATCTAACGAAATCAGATGTAAGTTTAATGTAAGTTTATAATCCAAAGATCTCGGTTCCTTCCGATATTATATCGGACCGTAACTTCCTGAATTATGGCCCCTGATTGTACGAAAAATTGCTTTCTTTTCAGCTTGTTCTCTATCCATCTCTCGAAAATATGGGCGTATCCTGCCTGGCAGCCGCTGGTTTTTAGTTTTGTTCAGAATTATTCGGCAGAATAGCCTCCACAGTAGAATTTTTCGTCAGAGCTATCACAACAGAATTTTTTATAGATTGGTTCCAACAGCAGGAATTGTGGTTATAGATTATTCATCAGAGTATTATTCTTCTTTCGATTATTCATCAGAGCAGGATATTTGATTACACTATCGTTTAAAGCAGAATTTTTCGTCAAATTAGCCACCACAGCAGAATTTCTTTTCAGACTGGTCCTCACAGCTAGTAGAATTTTCTATCGATTGGTCTCAACAGCAGAAATTGTGGTTAGATTGGTCCCCACAACAGGATTTTCTATAGATTGGTCTTAACAGCAGGATTTTTCGTTAGATTATCCATCACAGCAGAATATTTTCGTCACAATAGCTGTCTCGGCAGAATTTTTTTCCAGATTTCTTCTCACAGCAGGATTTTCTATAGATTGGTTCCAACAGCCGGATTTTTCTTTAGATTACCCATCATGTCAGGAATTTCGTTAGATTATCCATCACGGCAGAATTATTCGGAAGAATAGCCACAGCAGAATTTTCTATCGATTGTTCCCAAAAGCAGGAATTGTGGTTAGATTATTCAGCAGAGCAGGAATTTTCGTTAGATTATCCACCACAGCAGAATATTTTCGAGACAATAGCCATAACAGCAGAATTTTTCGTCACAACAGCCATGACAGCAAAATTTGTTTTCAGTTTGGTTCTCACAGCAGGATTTTTTATAGATTGGCTCCAACGGCAGGAATTGTCGTTAGATTATCCAGCAAAGCAGGAATTTTCGGTAGATAATCCACCACAGCAGAATATTTTCGTCACAATAGCCATCACAGCAGAATTTTTCGTCACAATTGCCATGGCATCAGACTTTGTTTTCAGCTTGGTTCTCACAGCAGGATTTTCGTCAAAATAGCCACCACAGCAGAATTTCTTTTCGGACCGGTCTTCACAGTAGAATTTTCTATCGATTGGTCCCAAAAGCAGGAATTGTGGTTCGATTATTCGTCCCAACAGCAGGAATTATTTTTCTTTTAATTATTCATCAGAGCAGGAATTTTTGACTATCGTTTAAAGCAGAATTTTTCGTCAATATAGCTAACATAGCAGAATTTCTTTTCAGACTGGTCCTCGCGGTATAATTTTCTACCGATTGACCCCAAAAGCAGGAATTACGCAGAGCAGGAATTTTCGTTAGATTATCCACCACAGCAGAATATTTTCGTCACAATAGCCATCACAGCAGAATTTTTTGTTACAATAGCCATCACAGCAGAATTTTTTTATATTTTGGTTCTCACGTTTTTTCATAAATTGGTTCCAACAGCAGGATTTCAACTGGGAACTTGTTACCAAACTCTACTCGTCATATTTTGGGCAGTGGCAGTCTTCAATAAAGGCCTATGGCTCCTCCAGTTGAAGTAATATCAACTTGAAACTTGGCATGAAGTGTTTATAATTTCTTTTAATTTCGGGATGATTTTTTAAATGTTATTTATTGGTTGAGACAAATTCTTGGGGTTGTGATGGGCCTAATATGGGGTCTTATTCCACTTAAAGGTTTTGTAGGTCTAGCATTGTAAGTATTTCATAAATGTAGCTGTTTTCCTTTGCCAATAAATAATCATTGGTCTGTACATTGATTATTTATACATTATATACTAAGCAGCAAAAGAAAGGTTAGGTTGATATGTTACTCAGAATAGACCATAGCATAAAACTTGCCAAATGTTTTTATTGTATATTTGTGACCACATCTCCAACTTTATATGACCAATAGGGCTCCTTCCCAAACACAGAATTGAACCCAGGAAATGTTCTCAAAAATGCAATCAGACTTCTGAGATGGTAATGTGTTCACCAGGACCAGCCCTATAAAATGCACCCCCATACCTGGTTGAATCATTCACACTATAACGTCAGCAGCATGCCACGACTCATGACGGCTCAGAGGAACCAGGCGCCTGGAAGACTCGACGCTGGCTACACTGCCCAAGCCGTTGCCAATCACTTCCAGGTCAATGTTCGGACCATCGCTACGGGCTTCAGCAACGCTTTCAGGCCACCAACACCACGGATGATCGCCCCGGAACTGGTAGACCAAACGTTACCACAAGGCGACAAGACCGCCATGTTGGGCGATAACACATGCAGAATCCCTTCACACGGGCATATGAGAGAGCACGTCAGACGGCGGGAACACACAGAAGACCCGATACAGTGCGCCAACGTCTCACCAAAGAGAACATCCATTGCCGTAGACCAATCCTCACCCCTCGCCATGGACGTGAACGTCTACTGTTTGTCCAACAACACCAGAATTGGTGACACAAGCAATGGAGAACTTTTCTGTTTACATATGAGAGTCAGTATTGAGTATCAACTGCAGATGGCTGGACCTGCAGAATATGGCATCGACATGGCCAGCGTTATTCTGACCAGTGTGTCATGGAACGAGACTCATGGCGAGGTCCAAGCATAATGGTTTGGGTGGAATCGGCCTGAACCAGAGAGTGGGTCCTGTGGTGTTCCAAAATCTTGGTCCAGGGAGAGGAGGCCGCATCACGCTACATCGCTCAAGCTCTCAGACCCCACGTCATACCACATTTCGCACATCATCGAAAAAATGTTTTCCAGCATGACAACGGCCGTGGGATGAATGCAGAGGAGACTTAATAACATCGTACCGAGACCAAACACAGCTGACAGATTGTGCCAGACTTTTCTGAGAGTGTGATTCCAGGTGCCAATGACATTCATCAATCGTCTGGTCCACTCCATGTACTTAAGAATTCACATTCTGATCATCGGTCATCATGGTGCCTCCGTTAGGCATAGTGTCAATTTTGTCCGCGAGTTTAGGAACAACGGTCAGCTATCTCCCCTACTAAACCTGGAAGTACAACAACTAAAAGACGTTGGTGGGGGCTTTGGGCACATGCTCCTTAATTCGGAGGTGTAGGGTCGTTTGAAATCAATGTATTATTATCCACATCTACAGTTAATTTGATAGACACGGCCTTTCGGGAAGGGAGGTTCTTAAGGGAGGAAGAAAGGGTTGTTGGTCTTCTTAAACAGTGTGGTTTTTTTCTTTTGACATCTGAGGTTGGTCGATGTATGCACGGAAGTTGATTTTTGTACGCTAAAGTCGAATTAAGTCGTCATTTTGGTCATTTCACACAATGTTCTTAAGTTAGTGTTGTGTTCTAGCGGACCAATAGTGAAACTTTTAATGAAATAAACAAACTAACCTGTAGTTTTATTTACGATTACAAAAGGTTAAAGTAGCACAACAAGGAAGTCCGATATTACTACACCTTATGTCCCAGAGTTTTGAAAACTTGCTCAGAAGGATTAGCTGTCATTGCATAAAGACCTAACATCATATTCCTGAAGCAATGGTCTGAGAAATCCCTCTCTGGCCATTGCTGGATTGACTTCTGATACTTGAGCTTTTGAGGGAGTTTGTCTATTCTTCCCGTTCAATCAAATCTATCCCAAGTACAGCAACATGACAGCCCTTCCTGTAATCTGGGTCTTCCCTAAAACATTGAACAGTGATTTAAGGTATTAAAAACGGTGAAAGTATTTTCGTCTCCAAACAGTATTGTTTACATTGTTTTTGATTTGATAGCTTGGTTTGTCACACAATTAGTTTTTCTGCAATATTCTGCTATATATCTGGTTAATTGGGCATAATAAAATCGTGAGTCATGACCTGAAATGAAATGAAATGGGGTTTAAAGTCCTACTGTTTTGCTCCGAACTGGGCTAATGATGACAACGTTATGTTAACATATTTGGTCCAATTTGGAGCTCTGTTTTAAACCTAATGCTTTTGTAGCGCAGTTAGCTATTGGTTGTTAATTGGACCATTGACCAGTCATAATTTGGAACAGAAATTTGCCTTCCTTAAAGCAGTGTTTAGTGGGATTAGGTATAATCAAACGAAACACTGCGAGGAGTATGACCTAACATAGGCCCTGTCTAATTGTCTGTGTTTCATTATGTTAAGAAAGGAATCAAAAGAATAAAAACAAATTCTTTATTACCTGATATATACAAAATAAAACCATGACATAAATATTTAGTTTTTACAGAATATGCACAATTATTTGTTGCATTCAATCTGTCCTGTTTTTTAATGGATATATCATTGTTTTTGTATGTACTGCAGGGGCGGATCCAGGAATTTATGCAGGAGGGGGTTTGCCAGGTTCCTGTTAAGGAAATCTGTCATCGTCTCTAAATTACATAGGCATACATACACATTGAGTTTTTTAAGGAGAGAAATCATTTTTGTAATGATGTAGTAACACATTGTGATTTAATTTCATTGATGCAAGGCATTCAATTTTTTTTATGTACCTGAGCAGGGTGGGGTTTGGACCCCCCCCCCCCCCCCCCTGGATCCGCCCCTGTACTGGCTATTAGTTAACATACTTGAAGTTGTTTTCTTATTCTTATATAAAAGTTAAGACATACAAGTACATGGATTTAGTTGAAACAGTAATCTGAACAATTTAACACCATCTATTACAATTATAATGTTACATTAAAGATACATTATGGAAGATCAGATATAGAGCTGGCAGTTCTAACTATAATAGTTAAAAACTAGATAATGTAAAGGGAATATGCTGAAAATTTAAGTCAAATTGCTCCACTCCGAACCAAGATATTAGCAATTGATTTTTTGACCTAGTCTCGGTCATCATTACTGAAGTAGGTACGATAAAAAACAGTCTTGATTATTCATTTTTTGATTTAATCATCAATGGGCATTGAGCAGCAGATCGGATTCAAATCCAGTGACAATACGACACCTAAGATGGCATCGAGAGTTGATTAATGTCTAATTAATAGTTTATATAACATTTCAGGCCTAAAGAAAGACCTGCAATAACCTGATTTAGCTCTTGCATAATGTATGTTTAATTGTTACATTTAATACACAACTAGAATTCACTGGCACATTATCATGTCCTTATAGTACTCAGTTATAATACATAAAGAACGATCTAAGTCAATTTTTCAACAAACCCCAGTTAATAGGGTCATCCGTTGGCAAATTGTATAAGCTTTCTGTGGAACAATCAATTTCAGGTAAAAACGACCAGAGTCGCATCGAACCAATGCCCTACTGAAATGACCTCCCGGACAAATACAAGTCTATCGTATTTATTTGACCTTAATTTGGCTGAAAAGTGGAAGTCAGTTGTTGTACTGGTAATTATGATTCGTATTGAACATCATTTTGATGTTGTAATTAAACCCAATCGTTGTTCTGTTCGCGTCAAGCATTCTTGTCCAAAAGTCTTGTTTTCCTTTTATGCAACAAGCCAACAGTGAGGCTGATGTCCCCCGCTCAATCCCAAAATAAATAGATGACACACATTAATTAATCGCACATTTTTTTTTTTCAAAAGTATCAAACAACCAAACACTAAGTTTCATCAATCTCTATCACTAGATTATCTTGTCCCAAAGCATTGACCAATTAAATTGATTAGCTTTGCTTAGCTTCAGCTCGAAATGTTAATTATTGAACTCAGTCAAGACATTCACCTAATGAACATCTACATCAAGTCCAAACATTCTACCTCAATTAAAAGCAGAGTTGTTATTTTCCAAAGTCTTGACCAATCAAATGGCTTATCGCTCATTAGCCTAAGCAGAAAATTCTCACCATCGAAATTAGTCAAGGTAATGATATAATGAATCTATATTCGGAGTTCCATCTCACTTCATTATAACCAAAGTTATCATGCCTCAAAGCTTATTTCTGCTTAACGTAAGCAAACAATCTTCATCATAAACTCCACCAAGGCATTCACCTAATGAATGCCTACACCAAGTTTAACCATTCCACCTCAATTAGGAGAGTTATTGTGTTCCAAAGTCTTGACCAATGAAATTGCTTATCGCTCTGCTTACCCGAGCAGAAAATGCTCATTATCAAACTTAGTCAAGGTATTGATGTAATGAAACTATACACCAAGTTTCATCACTCTCACTTAATTAGGGGGGTTGGATGGCTGAATGGTTAGCGTGTGCGCGCTGTATCATACAGTCTGTCATTGAGTCGACTGGCGTGGTTTCGAATCCCCGGTTGTACGTGGCAAGGAGTAGGGTCGCCTGTCCAACCTCGTGGGTTTTCTCCGGGTCCTCCGGTTTCCTCCCACTGCTAAAGACCCCTACGCGCAAGCGAATTATGTAAATAAAATTAAACCATATGTTAGTCCCGAAATGACCTAGTTTGTGTCGAGTGGACGTTAAACCCCATTTCTCTCTCTCTCTCTCTCTCTCACTTAATTAGAACTAAAGTTATCGTCTCCAAAAGCATCAACCAATCAAATTGCTTATCTCTGCTCACCCTAAGCAGAAAATGCTCTTCTTTGAACTCCATCAAGGCATTGACCTAATAAACACCTACACCAAGTATGAAGATTCTAGCTCAATTAGAAGGAGAGTTATTGTGTTCCAAGGTCTCGACCAATTAAATGCTTATCGCTCTGCTTACCCTGAGCAGAAAATGCTCATTATCGAACTTGGTCAAGGTATTGATGTAATGGAACTATACACCAAGTTTCATCACTCTCTCATAATTAGAACTAAAGTTATAGTGTCCCAAAGCATCAACCAATCAAATTGCTTATCTCTGCTTACCTTAAGCCAAAAATGCTCATCTTCAAACTCCATCAAGGCATTGACCTAATAAACACCTACACCAAGTTTGAACATTGTAGCTCAATTAGAAAGAGAGTTATTGTGTCCCAAAAAGTGTGACGGACAGACAAACAGATGGACGAATCCATTTTAAGTCCCCTGCTTTCTTCGAAAGGCGGGGGACAAAAAGATAAAAATGTGACTTAGATCGTTCTTCCCCTGGAATCTTCACATGTTAATCAATAAAATTAAGGTAAATGAAATTATTATCTTTGGAATTTAATCTATTGATTGATTTATTTGTAGATCAGAATGATGTATCATCCTGTGCAGATTTAAGGATTGATGTACATGTTTGATGACAACCATTTATTGTTTACAGCATATAAATTTAATATTATTTAGGTATATCTATGCTATAAGTCTGAATGTAAAGCTGAGTATAAGATGATCCATGCAACCTGAAAGGAAACAAAAGATTGATTACTTTATTATTACCTTATTTACAGGAATGAGCTACAAAACTTTTATGTTTTTGCCTTATTCAGGTTCAATAGAATCGTCAGTCCTTCATGTTTATAAAATTGTGCCGGAGCCATAAAAAGCTCCTGATATCTTGAATATATGCAGTTTAAAAGTAAACAAGATAGGTTGCCAGGCAACGAAACATACGCCCACAGCAGCTAACTCGTCCGGGCAGTCAACAAGAGTTGTCACATATTTTTACTTTTTTCGGTAATGAAACATTTATAATACATTAAAATCTGATTAGGAGTAACAACTCATTAAGTAATTATCAGAAAACCATTAGAATTTGTTTGGTTTTTATAAAGTTTTGCCCCATGCTAACGTTTAGTATAGGAAACTTTTAACATCATGGATTTAGCTGTTCAAGTCAAAAAAATTCATTGAAAATCAATATACTTGTTTGTCTCAAGACCTTACACTCTGTGTATGAATCTGAAGTCAATAGGATGATAACTTTAGCTTCTAGAGGGTCACAAGGTTTTTAAAAGTTTTGAGGTTGGATTTAAACAGGCTGAATTTGGTGAGTGATCTAAGTCTTAGTGGCAGCTCATTCCAGAGAGTAGGCGCGGCACGACTGAAGGCGCGATTGCCATACAACTCACTGGTTTGTTTTCCATGTGTTTTGTGGGAAAAGGGTCGCAACTTCACCTCATCACTGCTTCTAGTCCGATAAGATGGAACTTGAATACTAATGATATTAGTGAGGTAGCAAGGCGCTGACTCACTATGGCGTATCAACTTGAAAATTATACATGACAGTTTAAAATGAATCCGCTTCTCAACTGGGAGCCAGTGTAGTCCCCGAAGAATGGGCGTCATCTCGAGCAGCGGAATTCTGAACATGTTGTAATTTCTTTAATTTGTATTTCGGGAGACCATAAAAAAGACTGTTGCAGTAATCCGGTTTTGATGTCACAAAGCCATGCACCAATTTCTCATTACTTGCCTGGTCTAACAAATGCCAGATTCGCCCTATACGCCACAGCGAGTGAGAAGCCCTGCTACACACACTCTTGATCTGATCATCCATCAGTCCAGCCGAGTCCATCATCACCCCCAAGTCCCGTGCGGAAGCCGATGGCAAAACAAGCACCTCACCAACTCATACATCACCCGCGACAACCTGCGGACTCGCATTTTTCCTGCACGATGAGAAACGGACAATTTCAGTCTTATCGTCATTGAGTGCACGCATCCAGAGACGAATCTCATCTATACATGCCTCAATATACGACCGGCAGAAATTGAGTCTGTTCGCGAGTCACGAGTGATGTAGAGCTGGGTGTCATCAGCGTATATTTTGGCATTTAGACCATGGCGGCTGATAATATCCTCGACTGGAGTCATGTATAATGCAAACAGAACCGGTCCTAGGACCGAGCCCTGGGGAACTCCAAATTTTAGGGGATGGTCCTCCGACTCTGCCGATCCAACTGACACTCTTTGTGTTCTTCCTCAAAGAAAGGAATTGATCCAATCATAAGCCTGACCACAGACGCCAAAACGTTTACGCAATCTGTTCATGAGGATGTTGTGATCGATGGTGTCGAAGGCAGCAGAAAGATCCAGTAATACCAATATGACATCATGTTGCTTATCAAGAGCAAGCACAACATCGTTCAGGACTCTAAGGAGCGCTGTCTCGGTGCTGTGCCCCTCTCGATAAGCAGACTGAAATTTGCCATAGAGTCCACCACTGGACAAGTACTGGTGTAAGCATGAAAAACCACATTTCTCTAGGAATTTGTCTAGGAAACCACAATTTGACACTGGTCTGTAATTTTTGAGAGTATTGGGATCCAAACCAAGCTTTTTGATCAGGGGTCGGACAATGGCAGCTTTACACTCGTCTGGGAAAACCCCAGACTCGAATGACGCATTCACTATACGTAGTAACAGAGGGGCCAATATATCACAACAATCCTTCACAAACTGAGTTGGTATTGGATCTAATTCACATGTCTTCGCTGGCATTTTTCGAACAATGGAATTTAACCTCATCCAGTGATAAGGGACTTAGTACCGTGAGCTCACACTGTGGAATTGAGTCATCAACAATCGGGATGTCATGGTTTCTAAGTTTCGCTCGAATTGCAGCTATTTTCTCAGTGAAAAAGTTCGCAAATGTCTCTGGGAGCATAGAAATCTCAACATTGTTCGGAAGAATACCAGCTGATGTTTTCTTAGAGCCTGAGATACTGTCAACAATATTAAAAAGTTCCTTTGAATCAGCTGCCTCAATTCGATTGCGATGAAATGACGCCTTCGATTTCTCGAGTAGCCTGTTGTAGTTAGCCCGAGCAGCCTTGAACATTTGATGACGAATTTCCAATTTAGTGTCCAAAAATTGACATTCAAGCTTTCTGAGCGCTTGCCGTTCTGCCAACAAATCAGCAGTAAACCATTTTGCTCTGGGTTTGTCTATCAGAGTCTTCCTTTTCAATGGAGTGTGTTCATTCATCACATTTGTCATTTCAGAATCATAGGCAGTCGCGAGTGAATTGACATCGACAATGGATTCCACCCGCTTTAGTGAATTCCCTATTGAGGCCTTCAATGTAGAAGAATCAATTTCCTTTAAAACGCGATGATCCCTGGTCACTTTCAATGGAGGGGGTCGGTGAATAATGGACGTGAAGTGAACTGCGTAATGATCTGAAGGCATTGTGCGATCGGTTACGAAATTTCCAAGCCATGTATCAGATGCACGTGTGAGGACCAAGTCTAATGTGTGGCCTGCTTGGTGCGTGCTCCCGGTCACATGTTGTACGAGGCCGAGCGAAGAAATTAAATCGAAAACTGCTGAGCTTCAGAACACCGAGCATTGTCCATGTGTAGATTGAAGTCGCCAACAATCAATAGGTGACCCGACGACACTATGAGACCTTCCATAAGTTCACCAAATTCTTGTAAGAACGTTGGGACGCCGACCATGTGTTTTTCTGAATACCCAGGTCTGTAGATGGTTATGGCACGAATCATTGTACTACCAGCGTGAATACTTGCATCCAACACTTCCATTGATTTGAACTTGTCGCATGGATTCCGTTTTAGCTTGAGATTAGATCTGAGTAGGAGTGCGACACCGCCGCCTTGGCGCTTGGGGCGTGGAACATGCAATGATTTGTAGCCGGCTATTGATGAAGTGAAGTCTGTGTCTAGTAGTGCACCATTTTTCTCTGTTATCCAGGACTCAGTTAACAAAAACACGTCAGTTCTATTGGTTATGATAGACGCCGACAATGCACCGATCTTCCCATTCATCGAGTGTGCATTCCATAGTGAAAAGTTCAAACACTGAGTAAGGTTATGTAACGGTTGATAAGGAATCTTAACAAGCATAGGAATACGTGTGGGCTTCGGTTGTATTCTACGGCTAAAAATGTTCACTATCGGACGAATAGGACATTGAAATTTGGAGTAACCGCCTCGCTTACCCCGCGGTCTTTTCCATCTTCTCCGCCTTGTTGATACTAAACCAGTGGAATAGTCCAGATTAAGTCTGATTGAGCAGCCTGAGGAAACAAGGTCATGTAGCACAGATTGATTGACATATTTTTTAGAGAATTTAAAAGACTGTCTCTTTAATTCAAAAAGTTGTTGACGTGAGTATGAAATCCTTTCATAGTTCAGGAAAAGCTAACTACATTGCTGAAGATGGCTCACGTAACACTCAAAACAGTTCACATGATAGTTACCAACAGGCAAATTGTAACTAAAAATAGCACAGATTATCCCATTTATGATAAAGTTTACAATCCAAAATTTAAAAAAACATCACAACACCAAAATTACAAAATTAGGAGACATCTTGATTTCATAGAAATTTCAACTATCACAAAAGAGTAATTATACAGAAAATTTTGAAAAAACAGTCAGAGCAAAAATAACACAGCTGCAGCCAACCAGGGCGCACTTTGTATCAATTTAAAGTCAATCAGATATTAACTTTAGCCTCTAGAGCATTTACAAGATTTTTTGAAGTGATCAAGGGCCATAACTCTGGCAGTAATAATCAAAAATCGCTGAAAATGAATAAACTTCTTTGTCTAATGATCTTAAACACTGTGTATAAATTTAAACTCAATCGGATATTAACTTTAGCCTCTAGAGCGTCCACAAGATTTTTCAAAGTGATCAAGGGCCATAACTCTGCCAGTAATTATCGGAAATCGCTGAAAATCAATAGGCTTCTTCGTCTAATGACCTTAAACACTATGTATAAATATAAAGTCAATCGGATATTAACTTTAGCCTCTAGAGCATTTACAAGATTTTTTGAAGTGATCAAGGGCCATAACTCTGGCAGTAATTATCGAAAATCACTGAAAATGAATAAACTTCTTCATCTCATGACCTTAAACACTGTGTATAAATTTAAACTCAATCGGATATTAACTTTAGCCTCTAGAGCGTCCACAAGATTTTTCAAAGTGATCAAGGGCCATAACTCTGGCAGTAATTATCAGAAATCGCTGAAAATCCGTAGGCTTCTTCGTCTCATGACCTTAAACACTGTGTATAAATTTAAAGTCAATCGGATATTAACTTTGACCTCTAGAGCATGCATAAGATTTTTTGAAGTGATCAAGGGCCATAACTCTGGAAGTAATTATCGGAAATCGCTGAAAATCAATAGGCTTCTTCGTCTCATGACCTTAAACACTGTGTATAAATTTATAGTCAATCGGATATTAACTCTGACCTCTAGAGCGTCCACAAGATTTTTTGAAACGATCAAGGACCATAACTCTGGCAGTAATTATCGGAAATCGTTGAAAATCAATAGGCTTCTTCGTCTCATGACCTTAAACACTGTGTATAAATTTAAAGTCAATCGGATATTAACTTTAGCCTCTAGAGCGTCCACAAGCAA